GGAAGTGGAACTGCAGCATTCTCTGGAAGAAGTACAGAGTATTAGCGGTCAGAAAGAGGAATTTTTACGACAGCTACGAAAAAGTGGCCAGGCCCTGAAAGATCTGCAGATGGAATATGATGAAATGAGAGAGGCAAAAGATGCAGCGTTGGTTCGGGTACAGGACATTGAAAAAAGGTTTGTAGCGCTGCACAGCAAAAACGCATAAAAATAAACAACAGCAGGTTAATATGAGCTCTGACAGTGATCCGTGGTACTTAGCCTGTCCTATCTTCGTCAGGGTTATCTGTTAAGCCACTACATAATTTTTTGACCGGTAGTAAGTAATCGTAATGATGATTCCGATCGTTTCTTTTGCCGGTAGGGACCGAGGATGTTTGAAATTTTGCAGTGAAGCCAATGTATGCGCATCACACGTCACTGATCTTGAAATTTCCCAGAATTATTAATTAATGATATTATTATGTATGTGTGAGTAAATATGTGTGTACGTGTGTGTGTGTGTGTGTGTGTGTGTACGTGTGTGCGTGTATGTGTGTGTGCGTGAGTGTACGTCTGTCCGGGTATTTCAACTCGACAACCAGGCAAGCTCCGGCGTCAAAATTTTGCCACTGGGTTCCTCGACCAAGTGCCGCCTCAGGACCGCGGTACCAATCCTCACGCACTTCTGATGAATATTGGTAAATCGTGAACATATGGGCTGTCGGCCAAATGGTTAGTTTGGCGTCCACGGTATGTATAGACTTCTAATGGTATGAGAAAAAAACGATGTGATGTTTTTGCCTGCCTCTAAACCCTCATAGTTGTTTAGTTTTTCTGTTCGGCAGACTTTTTCTGTTCTGTAAAAATTTATAAAAAAATTTTTTGATTAGAGATTTCCAGTTTTATCAGAAACCCCTGATTATATAAAATTATAGAACATCAAAATATTTAATAATTTTTGGTGCGTTAATACTGTCAAAGCGTTGTTGGTAATTATCAATAATGCAAAATGTCACAGCAAATTTTCTGTCGATTTTTCGTCTCTTATTGTTTTTTTTTTTCTTTATTTACTCACCCTCATATTTAGGCTGAAAGTTGCGGAAACGGACCTGAATAGGATGAGCGAAACAAATATGCAGTTAACAACGGAGAGACGAAGAGCTGAGCGTGAGCGCGATGATGCAATCGAAGAACTGTCCGTGAAACGTGGCCTAATAAACATTGAAGACAAAAAGCGCCTGGAAGCGAAGATTTATGAGCTGGAAGAGCAGCTCGAAGAGGAGCAAAACAGCAATGAATTAAGCAACGATAAACTCAAAAAAGCCCAAATTCAGGTATGCATTTAACGATTTTTACGATATTTTCAATAGTTTTTAAGTTTTTTTTTTTGTTCCGTAGTTTGAAATACAAATTTTCCGACCTTCTTTCTTCGGAAAAGTTTGCATTTCCCTCTCAGTTTTTTTGGTTTTTTTTTATCTTTTTTAGAATTTAGCTTTTTGCATATTATACTTAACATTTTTGAAGAAAATTTTTTCAAGCTTTGAAAGAGTTTTTTGGATTCTAGTCGAACTTTTGGCATTTCCAGAAGTTTTTTTGCTTTTATTCTTTTTGAGTTTTTTTTTCCTTTTTTTTGTATTTCATTATCTTCCTTTTAAAGAGAAAAAAAAGTTTCATACTTTAATTCAAAAATTACTCGTTGCAGCTGGAAACTCTAACAACGGAATTGGCAGCTGAACGTTCGCTATGCGAAAAACTGGAAACAGAAAAGGATACTTTTCAACGGCAATGCAAAGAACTTAAAATAAGAGTAATTTACATAGTTGATGAATGTTTTGATCCTTTGATTAGCCATTCTTTTCCACAGTTTCTGTGAAAAAAGCTGCTTCACTTATCCATCAGCCTACTGCTGCTGGTGATCCTGACATTCGTTTCTTTGCTTC